ATTTTGCGAATTCTTTAAACTTATTCATTTATTTCACGATGAATTGGATTGGAAGAGGAAAAGACAAAAAAGAAAAAAACAGGAAGAAGACAAAACAAATAAAAACAACAACAACAAATGTAGGAAAAGCATATTGTAGAGACAGTTGAGCGATCGCTGAGGAGGGGCCAGAAAGACGAGAAACTGAGGAAAACCGAAACAAGAATAGGCCTCGACAAGCGGTTCGGGGATCAATCCTCAACCGACTAAGGGCAAGGGAGGAATCAAGGCGTGGAGGCAAACTTGTTGTCTATGCTGACTACTCACAGCCAGACTTTGAGCAGGCCTAAGCAGGAGATCAGCATTATCCAGAATTTTTCTGGGAGTACAATGCCCCGAGCTTCCTTATTCTCCGAAAAGCAACTTTGAGGGAGCTTTGAGTTCGACCTACGTCAAAGGATCTTTGATCCCTGACCGAGGAACTTTGAGTTCACCTCCGTCAACAAGCAGCTGCCGAGTACCTGGACAGGAACTGAAGATCGGATGAGCATGTTCGTCAAAATTCCCAGATGGTCGATGGATCAGCGTGATTTCCCACTGGATTCAGCTGACGGGAATTCACAGAAAGAGAACACACGGATGGTCAGCAAAGCAAGGGTCAGGTCTGAGATCCTGAACAGGCGGTAAGGAGCTCCACATGATTTTCTGGCCTCGAGATCCTTCAGGATGTTTACAGCGTAAGGGCAAGAAGAATGAGTGGATATGTACGTAACAAGTGCCCGTTCGAGCAATGAGATGAATAACTGGAGCACAGGTGGCAGGAAATCAGGAAAAAACACTTCAGTGATCAGTCTCCATCAACAAACTGGGACAACATGAATCATAAGATGTATGTATCCACTCAATAATTAATACTGCCCCAGTTTCCAAATAGGAAACTGAAGTTTTTCAAGTATTCGACCAGTAAAAAAACAGCCGAGATGTTCCAGAGAGCATTGTACATGATGGACTACGGTTAGCGAAGAGAGAACGGCAACCAGCAAATTGAATCGAACTAAATTTCAGCGATTGAGTTGAACAAAACTAATACCGAAATCTGCTCGGATTCTTGAAAAATTATTTGCGATATGGTAGCTGCGAGAAACCTTTTCTTAACCCTACTTTTTGGACGAGTTAGAATCAATCTGGATGAAGGGCCGTGTTGGATGGGGGTGCTTTTGAGAAGAAACTGGGTTGCCCGATATTTTATTTTCATGCAGTTTTTATTACTGTTTTTGATGGTTTCATCAGCGAAAATGCGGGTACCGAAAGAAGCCATTGAAAGATCTTTTATGTTTTGCATTATACCTTGGGAATCAGGGTCGCTAAGGTGATCGTTTTTTTTGGAGATCGACTTCTATTAACCCACTTAGCCGTAGGAGCTGTGACTATCTTCATAAAATCTTAAGTCTTCTGACAATAGCTGATCCAGCTGTTGAGATGTGCATCGTATTCGACTTCAATTTGGAAACATAGTAGGGGTTCGAATGCGTATGTGGTCCTTACAATAATTGTGGTAGCCAGCACATTAACAAGTCAGTGTTACTACCCTCCCAGACAAGACCGGTATCTACCAAGCGATCGAGCGATCAAGAAGTTAAAGACCTGACTGGCTCGAGCAGGAAACGACCTGGGACACGATCCCTCGGGCTTGCCTGTGACAGGAGCACTAATTGTACCTACACCGCTTGCGCCCCGACTATTTCCTACAGCAAAAAATATACCCACGTGGCTGCAAAATCTTTCTAAAAAGTTGCAGAAGTTCTACAGGCGAGTATAGTTTGTGTCTGAGTATTGGATTTTCCTTTCATAATATCATATACACGAAGAAGAGACGTTTTACGTCGTTTTTGTTCCGATCTTCGAATGTGTGTTCTGCCTCCATCATCGTAAAAACCGTTGAAAGCACGTTAGAGGTAAATTACGAAGAATTATTAGCGACAGATGGACGAGATTCCCCAACACCGCTCCCTAGGTCTATCTTCACAGCAAGTTTACAAAAAAAAACAACACAGTGTTGGATCTGAACTCCGGGTTAAATTATCTTCGATAAGCGAAATCTCTTAGATGATGGAAACTTTCCGAGTTCTCAATCCAGGGAGGGAAACCATCTAATCAGACAACTACAGACTCATCTTCTTCCACTTACTTGGTGGATCACCCCATCTCGCCACCACATTTGGCATTGTAACTAGGGGTGCCGAGATGGGTAAAAGAGCCTTCACTTGGACGTTTCCTACATATAAGCATAATTCGCTATGTGTCTGTTGGTCGTCCTGCGCGAAAATTTACATTACATAAAAAAGAACCCAGAGAGTAGAGGCAAA